GTTTTCAGATGCTCTAATTGGGTTGAGTTGGGCTCCTCCGCCTGCAAGACCGTGGATTTCCATAGGCTCTGCCCAGAGGCACACATGTGAGTGCCCAGCCAGGCAAGAAGCCTGTCCCCGGAAGACCTGTGAGCCTGAGTGTAGATGCCCACCCAGCCACCATCAACCACACTTGGCCCCACAAAAGAAAGGAAAACAGGAGAGACATTGGATTGGATCTTCCAGAAGGTCTTTGTTGCCATTTTCTCCATCATCGGAAAAAAAATTACATCATCAAATAAAGACAGTAGCAGCACAGCTTATTGAAATGTTACAAGCAAATTTGCTTTTGTACTTTTGCTAAGAACATTAGGAAATTCCCTCCTCCCCCCACCCCACATTACATTTCCTGTAAAATGCCTTTATTATTATTAGTTTTTAAAGCACCATGAAATCCTACAGAGAGAAACACAGGTAAAACACCTCCACACAAGAGTTTATCGTGGTGGCCATTGTCACTGGGTCCCCTGCCTGTGACTCTGGGACGGGGAAGGAGGCCTGAGGCCGGCTTGTGGGGCCGGGTTGCATATCTCTTCTAGGCCTGAGCGCCTTGCCCCTGCCGCTGGGCACCCTGGAGGCCAAGGAGAGGTTTGTCAATTACCTTCCCGGCACAGGTCTGCTGTATCCACCCAGAGGGACTCCTCTCAAGGATTTTTTTTTTAATGCACAGGGAACTATTTGAGATTTTTCTCTGAAGAACCGACAACAGAAAGTAGATTCCACATCTCTTAGGCACCTGTGAAAATGAGATAGTCCCGTTCAGTAAAATCAGAGACACCTCTCGTTTCTCCTTGATGCCACCGCGCGCCGATGTCACGTGACCGAGGGCCTGCCCTGGGGGGACTGAGGGTTGAGCGGAGGGCGGATGTGGGTGGGTGTGAGGTACAAGGCGCCGGTGTATGGCGCAAGGTCAGGGTGCAGGGCTTTGCGTGCAGCGCCCACGATGCCAAATGAAAGTCACCTTCGTGTCTGAGTTACCATTGTTATTCTGTTAAGGCCATGACTACCTCTTACATGATGCCTCCCAAAGCTCCCTCTGCTCACACGCCCACCGCCTGCCACGTGATCGCATCGTAACAGGGGGAAAGGAGAACCCCCCACGGGGAACGTGAGCGGGATGTGGAAAGCAGAGGCCGAAGTGCGGGACTGGCTGTTTCTTCTCTCTTTCTTTACAGTCTCTGCAGGCTCGTTTTTCCGATGCCTTCCCTCTGGTTCGGAAACCGCGGTGCACACTAGACGGTCCACGTTCTCACCCCGTCCAGTGGGTAAAAACCTGCCCTACCCACGTTCTGGCCACATTCTCACTCATCCCCAAACCAAGCACACAAACGGAGGAATGGCATGGACTCAGCCAGGAAAAGACATCATCTCAGAGGGAGGCAAGGGGGTGGTCTGTTCATGTCTCACACAGCCAGGACTTTTGATGTGGACCGGTCCCCACAGAACCCAAAGCAGCCATTTCCTGTGTGTGTGTGTGCACGTGTGTGTGCGTGTGTGTGTCTGGGTGAGAGATGTCTTAGAGTGAGTGAGGTCATGAAGTTCTCAAAGGGAACCTTGACTACAATGGACTGCAAATAGCAACGGCTTAAAATTCTTCAAATAGTCTTAACACCATGCAAAAAATGTCCGCATAGCATGAGCCCTCTCAGTGACAGTGCTGTGAGGGACACACTGAGCCCGCACAGGGCACAGTCCGAATTTGGACACCAGGCTCTGGAACACATCTGGTCGCATCGATCACCCAGAACACAAATCCCCAAGAGCAGGAGACTAAGCTGTCACCTCAGCCTAACAGGAGTGGGGCCCATTCGTCAGTGTTCACAAATCCACCTAAAAAACATGCTGAATGAGTTTAAGTCACAGACCAGGGAAGTTGGTCAGAGAACTGCAGACTCAAAGGGGTCTTGGCAGTCATCTTTATTCAACTCCTCCAATGTGCTGACGAGGTCACAGAGATGTAGGCAAGGGGACAGGGGCGCACACAATCACAGGCTAGGACTGGCCGAGCACGGCCAAGTTGGCCCAGTCACCTTAGTTGTAGGCCAGGGATACCCCCCACCTACACAAATATTGAGGCCTGACCCCCAAAGTGATACATTTCTAGAGTCCCAACTGGGTTAGGACCGGGTATTGAGCTTTAGTCTCCTCAAAGTATCCCTTGGCTCTCACCAAGAAACTCCCAGATCTGCTTTGAAAGAAAAATTTAGGACCTAATTACCAGGTGAAGCAAAAAACACTGACCACTAAAGACAACGGACATGCTCCCTCGCTGGGTGCAGAGTCGACCTGTCTGCACCAGGTGTGTGGTGGGGCACAGAGTGCAGGCTGGAAGGGCAGGGCTCTGCTGGTGGGCATTCAGACTTTGTAGCAGCTTTGCCTCATCCATATATTTTCTACATGCTATTTGGCCACGTCTTTGAAAAGTAACATTCAAGCAACTTCAAAATAACTGGCTACCTCCCAAATCTTCCCTCGTAGACACGTAGACACGAAGAGGAGTCCAACCTCTTATTCCCTCTCAGCTTCTCCTCTGGAGATTACATTATAGTTTGTCAAACACTTTGCCCACCTATGACCAGATCGATCCCCCTAGAGGGAGGGTTCTTCTTTGATTTTGTTCACCGGGGCCTTGGCCTCATCTGTCCAGGGGATAGGTTTACATATATTAAAGATGTTGCCACTCTCGGTCCAGGGCTATTTAATCCCTTTATGCTACCGTGATTTAACTCCTCAGGGGAAGTGTCTACGCACACACCACCTGTTCCATTTGGTAGAGTGCAGTCAGTGCTGTGACCTGTTTATTCCTGCTGTATGTGGAGTTCCTGCAAGGCAAGCGAGTAAAGTGCAAAGAAGTGCTTTCAAAGGGCATTTTTAACAAGACAGAAAAGGTGCCACAGACAGTATTCCTGAAACCAAAACCAAAACCAAAACAATGTACAGTGTCTGCAAGGCCAACACTTTAGGCCATGTTTACACCAAGACCTTGTACTCTGTTGGGAGAAGAGATCTTCTCCCCGTCTCTGTGTGCTGTGTCCATGAAACTAGAGAGGCGCACGCGCGTGCACACACACACACACACACACACACACACAAGGGTGCATGACGTGGACGCTGTAGCAAAGTCAAAAGCAGACTTTGGTCAGACAGAATAGCAGCTCTACCACTTTGTTGCTGGGTGCCATTGGGTGAGTTACTTAGCCTCCCTGAGCCTCTGTGTCCTTATCTGTATAAGAGGTTTGCAGACACTTTCTACAGACTGTTGCTGTGAGGTTTCAGTGAGCCCATAAAGTGCCTAATTTAATGCCTGGCCCACCGAAGCCACTGGATAAATGGCAGGGAAGGCTCTTTGCCAGATCTGGCTGTTGGGTCTAGAATTTTAACACACCACTATGAAGAAGGTATCAAGTAATAGAGGGTGGAAACCCAAATGAATAACATCCACGGACCGTTGAATCAGGAGGCTTTTAACTTCACAGAATACGAGAGAAAGTTCCAGTTATCTACCAATGTCTTAAAACACATTTCTCCAGGCTGCAACGATCCCTTAGTAAGAACCACTACCCACACCTGCACAGACATCATTTCTCAAGCTTCTGTTATTACTGTGTGGACACAGGATGTCACCAGGGAGCCACCGCTCCAGCCCCAGGGAGGCATCAACCCAACCTACCTTGGACAGGAAGGGCCTCATCCAAGTTGATTCTTATTTGGTTCCTTTCCCAAAGCAATGCCAGAGTTTTAACTAAGAGCCTAAAAGTCTGCGGGTGGGGAGGGGGTCCTGCCTGTGCTCCAGGCAAGGAAGAGCTGTGCATTTTTGGGAAGTGGTCAGGAAGAGGTCTCCCATGGTACCAGTGGTCAAGGATGTGGTGGGTATAATTTTCCCTGGAAGTCTCTGCTAGTCCTGCGATTTCTGATAAATCCACTTGTACATTAGTCATGTGAAATCCCCAAAAGGTGGCACTGAGCAGTGGAGGCCCATAACCACCAACTTCCTGTGGCTGCCAAGCCCAAATGCTTAAGTGTGTGGCCCAAATAGCCAAGTTTGAACCAGCACAAGGATGAGCCAATTATGAAAGAGGCTGATGCTCACAGGGGATGTTTGGCTTAGGACATATTTTTCCCTCTCTAAAATAAAACTCCCTTTAAAAGCCTCCTCTCAAAACTTATGACTAGCCATCCCCCCACGTTCCTTCACTGATATTCTAACCTCATAGAGCAATTATGTATCACGTGTTGGTTATTGTTTGCCTTGAAACGACCACATTTGTGTTCCAATTGGTATTGCAATAGCAGGTATGAGCTAAAGAAACAAGCGAGGAAAAGGAATGCTTTTAAAATAACGAAATGCCCAAACAGAAAAGCGAAATATGTGAAATACTTCTTTTAAGTATTATTTTTTAAATGGCATTAATGGCACTTAAACTGCAAGCAATTAAAACGATTCGATCTTCTTCTACAAGGGTTGGTTGAGGGATTAATTTTCCTTTTGTTTGGAGATAGCAAGATTGGCTTTTGTAACTATGTCTACCCTAAGACACCCAAAGGGACAAAAAGCCCTGAGATGGAATGATGCCGTGGTCCTCCTTGGTATGTCTCAGACGTGCAGGGTGTCTATTTTTATAAAAATTTAGGATCAGCTAGACAGAACGGCAAGCCGCTGGCATCATGCAAGGCAATGGTTTGGTTCTCTACCCCCTCTTATCAAAACAAGTTATAACCAAAGTTCCATTAGAAAAGGGAACATGAACATTTCAAAACCAGTTTGTCATCACCATGGCACCCACTGAGGAAAGTGCATGATTTTTGCCTGTAACCATGCAGCGGCTGAGGTTGAATTTTCACCAGAGCTTGCAAGTTTGTTTGGACTACCTACCCCTGTGAGAAAGACCAAATTCAGTAGGCTTCTGTCCTTGGTTGAGGTGATATCCACAGTGTGATGTTTATGATTATTTTATTTCTTCTGTAATGAGAAAAGCAACGGCACCTTTTATTACGTGTGCTCTGATCTGCATCGAACAAATTCCAGGAGCCCTCAGGTTCCACGAACATTCATTTGGAGCCGAGAAGAACTAGGTACGCACTGAATGGTTTGGATCAGAATTCAAGCTCAGAGCAACATGCCAAAATGTCAACTTGAACCCTAGTTACAGGTACCAGTTCATCCCCAATATATCACCAACAGTAGGTTCAGGAAATGAGACTCTGTGTAAGAGACACAACTGTTCCTTTCAGAAGGCTGGTCTAAGAAATAGCTGCCCTTTTCTACGTGCCATCCAGGGCGTCGCTGCACCAGGGGTACATCGTCGCCCCCGACACGCCCTTGACATTTGCGGCCATGACCTCCAACGCGTGCAAACCTTCCCTGGGCGTGCGGTCGCTGTGGAAGCCAAGTGCTTGCTGTTTGACTCCTCCCGGCAGAGCAAGCTTCTCGGTCCTTTATGGCACAGTGAAATCTGCTCTTCAATGCTATGGAATCTCGGACTAAGGAGAAGTCTGTTTAAGGCACATGTCTCAGGGTGAATATAAAAAACCGCAACGCTTCATCAAGTCCAACGTCCGGGACATTTAGTTTGTGTCTTCAAGTAATGTGTTGTCCTCGTGTTCCCTGTCTTTGGTGTCTGTGGGGACCATTCCGTTCTCCACCCCGGCAGGCTGCTGCGCACAGTCAGTCAACATGGCAGTGCTGGAGTGGTCTGAGTTACACATCTTTTCCGTCTCCTCCTCCTTCTTCTCTTCATCCAGGGAGTAATTCCGGAAGGTCTTGTAGATTTTCTGGACGTCCTCGGGCAAGGTCTTCTTGATGTCCTTGTTTTTCCTCTTGGTGAGCTTGGAGGTGGACCCGAACTTGTTGATGATGTTGTCCTCCGAGGCCCCCTGCCCGTGTTTGCTCAGCTGCTCCGTCCCTTTGAGGCGCAGGTTGTTGGGCCGGTTGTTAATGCTCTCCTGGGACGAGGCCTTGAAGCGGCCCGAGTCCAGCGCCGCGAAGACGGAGCGCTTCTCGGGGGACAGCATGTCGAGCGAGTGGGCCCGCTGGTCCAGGCCCAGGCGCCGGCGCTCCATGCTGCGGATGGTGGCCGCGCGCTGCAGCTTGTCGTGGATCTCCACGCTGAGCCGCCGCCGCGTCTCCCGGAACTCGGCCGTCACGTTGGCCTTCCACTCGGCCGCGTGGGCCTTGATCTCACCCACCTGGCCGGGACACAGAAGAGCAACAACACGCTGAGCAATTCCTCTCTGCCCGGGCCCCCCAGCACCCACAGCCCGTGGGCGTCCCCGTGGGAAGGGCTGGCTCAGGGGAGGCCCTGGCACGCGGGGGCATACGGGCAGGGGGAGGGCTGAAATGCTCCTCTGCCCTAGCCTCTCCTGCTCCTACGTCCCCATCCCATTGGCTCAGGGAGCGCAAGTCCTGGAGAACAAGGGGAGCCTGAGATTTGGGGGTGGGAACTGCAGGAGAGGAGATGGCCTTCTGGGCGAGAGAGCAGTGTTTTGAGTTGGACAGGCCTGCAGGGTTCCCCTGGGGGATCCACCCCCTTTTTAACAGTGTGACCTCATTCCTCCAACGTGGCTCGGGTAATCATGTCTAGCTGACAGGACTTTCAGTGTTATGCCGTTGAAAGATGTGCTCCTAGCTCAGTCCTGAGCACAGAGCAGATGTCCGGAAGGTCCTTTGCCCTTCCCTCTCCCTCCAATGTCTCTGTCTGGGGCCGGTGACCACCCTGTCCCAGGTAGCCTTGGACTGTCCTGATTTGTAAAGGGAAAATCCTGTGTCCTAGCCACTCCTCCCCCCCACTCCACCCCCCAAATCCTGGGCAAACTGGGACTTCTGGTCACCCTGTATTTGGGCACATGCTGTGGCCATGTAATATCAGGCTTATGCTGGTTTAAGAAGACCCCCCCAGGGCACCTAGTAATCAAATTTCCCTGGTCAGGGAGCAGGAAGGGGGCAGGCTCCCAGGGAGGTTCTGCATGGGGGTCATTATCAAGTCTCTGGGCTCTTATTCAGTAGGGCAGACAGTACAAGGCCCATGTTTTTCTGTACAGACGAGGAACTCAGATTTTTGCATTGAGGAAAGTCAGTATTTATGTTGGTACTTTTTCTTTTGTCATAGCCAATTTTCGGCAGGTCAGTTAGCTACCTGGGGAATCAGACTGGAGGGAGACTGCATTTTCAGTGTTTTAGTACACCAGGAAAATTACGTGGTGCCCAGAAATGAGATGGCAAATTGTTCCATGCAGCATCCTTCTCCTGGACCCTTCTGTACAGAACGGCCGTGTTCTGGGAAGTGAACAGTCGCTCTTACAGCGGCTGCCCCTCTTTTTATTCTTGTTCTTTTAAAAATCTCCTTCCCTTGCCTCCTCCTTTCTCATTTCTTTTCTTGTCTTCCTAGAAGAACTGCATGGACTTTATTTTTTTAAACTCATAAAGCATCTACCTTTCCTCCTAGGCCTTCCTTTTCTTGTCTTTGTGTAGGCTTTTATGCACGTTTATATGCGGGAGCAAAGGCTGCATACTCCTGGGATATACTTATCTCTACAGATTGGACAACCAGGAGCCCCTGGGCTCACTCCCCATGGCTGGCCCCTGTTCAGTAATTTCCGTCTCACACAGAATCAAGACAGATTCATGGTGTTCAAGTGCATTTCCAGACAGACCCTGTGCCCTGAAGGACAGGTGGGCTTTCTCACACTTTTATATGATTTCTGAGCCTCCCCCACACATTTGCTGATAAGGGACAAGTGCTTATCTCCCTCAGAGGCACAGTCTACCTCTGCTGACTATTTCTATGTTCTTCTTTCCCCTTTCATTCCATTTTAAAAACCAAGTTGTTTACTATTCTTTCCAGGATCTGTGGGCTGGTGGGTGAGTCACCAGATTTTCTCACCTGTCAAAAAGGATCCAAAAAATAATTGCGATTCCATTTCACTTGGCTTTTAGGTAATGATTCCAAACAGGGAAGCCTGGGGAGCCCTTCAGTTAGTAAGAAACACTCTCGCCCATTGAACAGAGACAGGAAATGCTCATCTGATCTCAGGAACATTCGTAGAATCTGGAAGGGGTCCTACCTCTTCTTTTGTCTTTTTGGACAGAACCCGTAGCCAATCTCCGATCATACTGAGGACGGCTGCAAAGTAGGCAAGGCCAACAAGGATCCAAAACCACACTAGGGGCTTATACCACTCCCGGTAATTGATGCCAGCATTTCCCCCTGAAAACAACCAAATATTACTGTAAGCAGGATCTAGCATGTGGTCTTTGCAAACATGTTCTGGTCCGCGCAGCGGACACGTTATCCCATCACCTTCTAGTGCTCAGCTGTTAGGCCTGCTGTATACAAGATGTGATGGAGGTCGGAAGACAAGGGAAAGATGTGTCCCATCCCCAAAGGAGCCTGACATGTGGCTGAACTTCCTTTGAATCTTGACCACTCACCACAGCACCCATAACAAAAATATGTCAGTGGCCAACTTGATCCACCTGTTCTCTACCTGAGCTTGACAACCAATGATGTGAACTAGAGGACAACGAATCAAAAAAACAAAACAAAACAAAACACCATTATATTATCCCAAATGGTCTGGAATTCACGGAACTGTTTCCTTCTTAAGTGCACATGCATTTACCAAGGGCCAAGTGTAAAATTAGACTTCATGGCAATCGTGAGACTTTGACCCCAGCCACAGCGATTCAATGCTGACTGAGAGCCGGTGCTGCCATGATGCTGATCCGAAGGGTCGTTAGACTGGGAAATTAGAACCACCAGGGCCACACTAGAACTGCAAGAGACCTTCAAGGCCAACTAGTCCAATCCCTTTGTTATAAACCGGGATTCCAGAAAAAAATCCATCAAACCAAATTGGCCAGTTGCCTGAGTACATTGAATGGCTGTTGCGTTAGAAGGAACTGGTCACTTATTCTAAATACTAAGCCTATTTATTCTAGCCCTCCTTCAGGCACTGCCAGAGGTAACCATGCAAAATAGGTTGTAAAGTCCGCCAGTGTGGCTCAGTGGTTGAGCGTCGACCCATGCATCAAGAGGTCGCCGGTTCGATTCCTGGTCAGGACACATGCCCAGGTTGTGGGCCTGACCCCCAGTGGGGGGCATGTGGGAGGCGGCCAATCGATGTTCTCTCTCATGGATGTTTCTATCTCTCTCCCCCTTTCACTTTCTCTCTCTAAAAATCAAAAAAGGAAAAAAAAAAAAAAAAAAAGTTGTAAGCCCAGCCCCGTCTCCCTAAAGAAGCGGGGACGTTCCATGAAAGAACTGAAGTCAGCCCTTGTTCTCACCCTGTAAGATGTGTTGCCCAATGAACCAGGCAGGTGGCCATTTCTAAGACAACCAGCAGGTAATTGTGCCATTACATTATGAGCGATGGCTAGTCTTTCCCACTGGGTCACGGTCATAACCTCGTCCGTCCGGCACCAGTCACACTTCCCAAAGGCAGGGGGCGGGCACTGTGGCCCGCGGCTCTTCACAATGCAACAGAGCCCACTTTAAAAAAAAATGTTTTCAATTATGGTTTACTTCCAACATTTTTTTGTATTGGTTTCAGGTGTACGGCTTAGTGCTTAGACAATCATATAGTTTACAAAATGTTCCCCTCGATATTCCCAGTACCCAGCTGGTCCCCATACATAGTTATTGCAGTATTATTGACTGTATTCCCTAGGCTGTAGTTTGCATCTGGTGACTATTCTGTAACTACCAATTTGTTCTTCTTAACCCCTTTACCCCTTTCTCCCAGTCCCCCACACCTCCTCCACCCTTTTCAGTGCAGCCCAAGAGGTCTCAACACCTATTGCAATTTCTTAAAATTAGAAGTCGGAATATTGCTAAAGGGCTCCGTGGCAAGCCCGCCTCTGTGTGGTTTAGCTGCCTTTGTTCTTTCCCTTTAGACAACCCCCCACCCCCAGCTTTCTCTAGGGTGCTATGGGAGTTCCTGCAACATTAAGTGGTTTTTGAGTCTTATTTGTTTTTGTGTTTAGCCAGAGAACTCAGCAGCATTCTCCTTGGGGCTATTATCTGAGCAAATATTTACCTTAGCCCATCACCATCACCCAACAAAAATTGCCACTAGGGTGCGCTGGCGAACAGCGTGTTACACATCCTTCCGCCTGCTCCTGGATCCGCGGCTGGCCCAGATTTTGGAGCTTTCCCTGTGCCCCAGTCAGAGCTGCTAAATGCTACAGTGATGCTCGCCGTCCTCCAGTGAGTCAGCTGCCACAGGAACCAGCCCTCAATCCTGTGTGGTGACGGGTGTTCCAGTCATAGTAGAGTTGATACCGTGGTAAATCAGAGCAACCATCCACTCTTAGTAATATGCCTTTTTAACAATCAGGCACCCTTCCTTATCACTCTTAGAGTATTGCCAAAAAGGTGGTGCTAACCTTGCAGTCTGTTAAAGCATACATTCTTCAGGGCAGTCTATGTGAGCCTGGAAACCGGAGAAGGGCCGGGTCTGATGGTAGCCCTGGGAGTGTTAGAGATCCCTGTGTGTGAAGACCTCGAGACAGGAGACCCAGCACCGTAATCAGTGGGAGTAAGGGCCCAAAACAGTGCCGAGCCTGTGGCCGTGGAGGTCACGCCTTACCAGGTTAAGTAAAGATAAGGTCAAGTGCTGGTAAGTGCTAAGTTGCTCACAGTCCATGGTGCCTAATACACCTAAACAAAAATCATAGCTATTATTATTATTTTTTAATCTCAGGGCTCTGCTATTTGCGCCCCAGATGGACAGAGGACTTGAGCAATATTAGAGCAGGGGTCTTCACAGGTGTCCTCTCACAGGTGGTCTCCAGACAGCCCAGCCCAGTGCAAACTAGGCTTGGGGGTGGGAGGGACATAAAGATGTTTGTGAAATGGTTCTAAACTCCAGCTGCCCTCACAGGAACCTCAGCTGAGTCTTCCCGCAGACCAGCTCCGGGTGATGCTAAGGAGTTAACTGGACAATCGTTCCTCTTACTTTTCTCAGTTTCTCTGTCCTTTCTCTCTAGAGCTTCAGGCCCCTAGTCAGATGGCACCAGGTGACATGTCCCCCAAGGTGAGGAGCTGCACAATGGTTGACACTGTACATGAGGGAAGACTGACGGGGTCTCAGGCTTTTACAAACAATGTTTAATCACTTCAACTTTGCAATTCTTAGTCCTTAGTCAAGAGAAAGGAATAAAAATTAAAACTGCTGTTTCTACTACATGGACATCGATCTTCTCCTGTCCGGTTGCAATAGCTCCAAAGCCACGGTGCTGGTTACTGCATCACAGAGCTGGTGAGGATGCTCCTAACCCCCTCTGGAAGCTTCCGTCCCCCAGATTCCCAGACCAGGTCCCTGTCCTCCTGTGCACCGCACTCCATGGAGAGGCCAGGGCACAGCCAGGATCAAACGCCAAATGAAGGACAGTTGTCCTGGGAGTGCAACCTGCAAGTGTCCAGGCTGCTGCTTAACCGGGAACTGGTCAAGGCCACACCCACCACCTGGACGTTTTGAACCTTCGGTGGAGGTGTTTAATGAAAGCACTCACTTCTTGGAGTGAAAAGGATTGATCAATCCCCCTGGAACTATCCCAGTAGAAAGGAAGAGGGTGACCTCCTCCTGTCCCTGCCTTCCCACCACACTCCGGGAGAGTGGTGCATGTCGGAAGCCAGATCTCACTTCATTTTCAGGTCCCTGTCCTTAGATGAAACCGATGGCGGTGTTCTTTTGCTTCCCTAACCTCAGCCCGCTGGCGTTTATTTTCACAACGAAAGCTTTTGCTTCTATATACATTCACGCAGAATGCACTGTACGATATTCCCTCGGGGCGCTTCTCAGCTCCCAGCTGTCACGAAGTCCTCGGCCTTGCGGTCGTGCCCAGGACAACTTTTGCAGGGACAATGGCCCTCAACCCAGGGGGCAGCAGGCTAATCTGTGCTGACCTCTTCAGAGTTGCACATTTGCTACTCCCTAATACAGCCTTTATCGATTGATTCAAGGAGCCTTAATACAATTCAGAAGTCCAAAATTCAGTGAGAAATTCATTTCACCGATGCATAATTCATATGACGATTGGGGCGACAGGTATCCTGGGGAGAAGGAGGCTGGCTTTCCTCTTGCGGCAGAAGCCTGATGCTGTTTGGATCAGAAAGGACCACGGGCTTGAAATGAGCTCATGCACAGCAGCAGGGGGCTCTGGGCCCTCTTTATTTGCTTCCCTCGCAACTCATTTTCTGCTGGTTTTGAAAAGCACTGCCAACAGAATTATTTCCACCACCCACGGGGGCCCTGGTGACTGGGATGCCCGGGGCGCTCACCTGCCACAAAATCGCCAAAGCCCACCGTGGTGAGAGTGACCACCACGAAGTAAATGGATTCCAAGGCCGTCCAGCCCTCGATGTATTTGAAGACGACGGCGGGGATTGTCACAAACACAATGCAGCCGGCCAGGATGAACAGGATGGTCGAGATGACCCGGATCTTGGTCTGACTCACTTGCTTCTTCTAGAACAGCAAAGGAGAGAGACAAGTCAGTCTCACTGCCCTGGAGCCAGGAGACAGAGATAGAGAAGGACATGTATTATGTCAGTGGCTTTTTAAAAGTTGAATTTATTGGGGTGATATTGATTAATAAAATAATGTAGGTTTCAGGTGCACGATTCCATAACACATCATCTGTATATTGTATTGTGTGTTCACCTCCCCAAAGTCCAGTCCCCTTCCATCACCATTTATCTCCCCTTACCCTCTTCTGCCTCCCCCTGTACCCCCTTTTCCCTCTGGTAATCACCAAATTGTTGTCTGTGTCTATGAGGTTTTTTCTTTGCTTAATCCCTAGACCTTCCTTCACCCAGCCCCGCAACCCCCTCCCCTCTGACAGCTGTCAGTCTGTTTCCATGTTGTTTGCATGGAGGGACCTGGACAGCACTGTGCAAAGTGAGCTCAGCCAGTCAGAGGAAGACACGAACCACATGATCTCACTCACACGTGCGGTCTAATGGACAACATTGCCGGTAGCTTTTAAACTCCCTTTGGCCACAGGCATCTTTGTGAGAATCTGACAAAAGCCATGGACCTTCTCCTAGAAACATGCACGTGCAGATATTTTCAGGTGTTCCGGTGGTTCCGGGGCCACACGGAGCCTGCTCACGGACCCGGCCCGGGAGTCCCGCTGAGCCCACGCCCGGCCCGTCCTCTGCAGGGCTCCCGAGCGCAGCCCCGGTGCCCAGCCCGCCTCCCTCACTGGTGCGGGCAGAACGCGTCCCAGGAAGGGCTTGCGGCCATTTCTCGCGGCCGGCCTGGCTTCCGAGCTCTTTCCACGGTGCTGGACGGGTTTCTACCCGGGTTCCCTTGCAGGAAAGGAAATACGCTGGTCCAAAACAGCAGCTGACCTGAAACAGGCCGGAATGTTCGGCTGGAGAGAAGCAGCACAGCCATCGTCCCCAAACACATCCCCAGACAGACTCCGGGCAAGGGTCTGTGTCCTTCCGCACCCTCCCCCCTGCGGGGGCTGGGCATTTCCAGCCGCTGTCCTTCCAAACCCAGGGGTCTGACCAGCCCTGCGGGCATCGGGTTTGCTGCTGGGTTTCCTGCAAGGGCCAGGGCAGGCGTTGAAGTCAGGGTGACAGGGTCACTGTCTACTGGGGGGCAGGCACTTCAGCTCACACGCGCTCCTGAAGGAGTCACTAGTGAAGAGGTCAGAATGCATCTGGAATGGGAATGACACTGACATTGGGGTAAAGGAATCGTCCCGTGGGGGCCAGCGGTGGGCGGAGGCGGCAGCAGCGTGCCCCTTGAGTGCATCCCAGACAACCTGGCGTTGCCTCCAGACTGAAGAATCTGTAAGGTCTCAAAGCTCCCAGAACTGGCCTTGGAGAGTGTCTTCAGGAGACCCTAGTACCATAACCTCACCAAAACAATATGCCATCACAAGTGTGTCTTTGAGAGCTTGTTTGGAGGTTCTCGCAGGGGAGCACAGCTACTCATATACCCTTGACCGAAGACCGGTCCTCTCCTCTGGGGGGAAGGTTGTCCTCTTCGACCAAGAGTGGCTTCGGGAGGGAGGAGGGGACACCTGCCTAGCCGGCCAGATCAGCCGAATCAACCCTGGTGATCAGTGGGGCGACAGATGTCGCAGCCAGATCACCCTCACATCCCACAAGTGTAACTTTAACACCAGAATGCTTGGGCCTTTCATACTACCTAGATCGATGTTCTGCTAAAGATCACCTCATTTAAGGTACTCGATACAGGAAATCCTTACCATGTGACCTGTTTTCTAGCCACTGCCTTCTAGTGAATTAGAAAGCGAATGACCTCAGAAACAAGAGACCTTTGCATTCATAAACCTCATTTACAGACGCAAAATCGGAGGCCAAAAGGGGTTAAGGGACTTGTATAAAGTGACGCTGCTAATCAAGGGCAGAGCCGAGAATACAACGTTGCTGTGATTAACTCTCAGTCCAGGGAGTGATGAAGAGTCCAGAAGCAGCTTTTCAAGTTCTTCAGCAATTCACCAGCTCAAACAGAGTTGCCCCCTGACAAAAGCAACCAGACTAACTTCCATGAGGAAGAGGCCACCCTGTTCCCACCCTGGGAAGGAAGACGGAGAACGAAACATTGTCACTAGAAGATCCGCTCAGGAATTCCGCAGCCCAGTCCCAGCAGTGACGCCTGGGCCAGGTTTCCCAGGACAGAAAGGGTCAACAGAAAGTCTTCTAAGATCAATCCCATGGCTCAACCATGGAAATGCTAGCCAAGGAAATGACTAGGTCTCAGAGACAGCAAGGTTGACTCTGGTTCCGTTTTCCTTCCTCCCATCCTCCTCTTCCTCCCTGATTTTTGGGAGAAATGCCGGCGCTGCCTCTTCGCTGGAAAGCTCCAAGGGGTCAGAGCTGAAAGGGGGAAAAGCTTCTCTCCCCAGCGATCAAGCCCCCAAGCCACCCAGTCCCACCTGACTGGGGTCCTGAGTCCCAGGAATAGTCGATATGGCAAAATGGAGAGGTCAATGAAATGAATAAGAATAGTTACAGCGGAGAATATTTATTTGCACAAATCTAAATCAGAGCTATTTATGCTCTAGTTCCTGGATCAATATATTCCCTAAGCGCGTATAGCAAAAGCTAAAAAACAACAGTTCTTCTTTATAAAAAGAAGCCATGTGCTAACTCCCAAGAGGACACTTATTATATAAGGTGGAAACAGGAAAAACATAATTTGATTCATGCTCTTATATGGGCCCCGCCCCCATCCCCCTGAACAGCCATCTAAAAAAAAAGATATTTTATATATATAAATATAATAAATAAATAAATAAATATATTTATATATAATTTTTAATATATATTTATATATATATAATATATATATATTTCCTCACCTGAGGATATTTTTCCACTTATTATCAGATAGAGTGGGAGGGAGGGAGAGAGACAGAGAGAAACATTGATGTAATAGAGCCACATCGATTGGTTGCCTCCTGCATGACCCGACCAGGGCCAGGGACAAACCGCAACCAAGGTATGTGCCCTTGACCATAATTGAACCCAAGACTCATTGGTCTGTGGGCCGATGCTCTAACTGCTGAGCCAAACTGGCCAGGGCTTATTGATATTTTTGAAACTACATATGAAATACCATTTTTCCCACAAAAGTTATCAGGTCAAGATAAATCACTTGAGAATCCCAGGAAATGTTTATCTCGTTTCATGAGTTTCCATATTGGATATTACAGGAGGACTTTGTGGGGGCAGTTGAGCCCCTTTGAGAATCCAGGAACTGGGTTATTATAGCCTAGTCTTGTTTGCAGGCTTGAGCAAAAATCCAGAGCCCAAAAGCAGATCTTACCAGATAACCCAGTCAATCTAATTGCTGGCAACGGGAACATCATTCCCCACCCCACGTATAAATCGTCCTCTTCAAACGCATAATGAAATTAAAGTGAATTGAATGTTTGTGAGACACTTGTTCAGTCGTAAATTAGGATGTGAACGCCACTGCAAACCAAATGAGGCTGAGGCTGGCGAAGGAAGGATGGGGTCCGGAGGAAGCTGGAGCCACTCCGGGCTCCAGGAGGTGGGCAGGGGAAGAGGGCCTGGGGTAGGGGAAGAGGGCCTGGGGTAGGGGAAGGGGTCCTGGGGTAGGGGAAGGGGTCCTGGGGTAGGGGAAGGGGGCATGGGGCAGGGGAAGGGGGTACGGGGCAGGGGAAGGGGGCCTGGGGCAGGGGAAGGGGGCACAGGGCAGGGGAAGGGGGCACAGGGCAGGGGAAGGTGGCATGGGGCAGGGGAAGGGGGCATGGGGCAGGGGAAGGGGCATGGGGCAGGGGAAGGGGCATGGGGCAGGGGAAGGGGGCCTGGGGCAGGGGAAGGGGCCCTGGGGCAGGGGAAGGGGGCCTGGGGCAGGGGAAGGGGGCTTAGGGCAGGGGAAGGGGCATGGGGCAGGGGAAGGGGGCCTGGGGCAGGGGAAGGGGCATGGGGCAGGGGAAGGGAGCATGGGGCAGGGGAAGGGGCATGGGGCAGGGGAAGGGGGCCTGGGGCAGGGGAAGGGGGCATGGGGCAGGGGAAGGGGGCCTGGGGCAGGGGAAGGGGGCTTGGGGCAGGGGAAGGGGGCTTGGGGCAGGGGAAGGTGGCATGGGGCAGGGGAAGGGGGCATGGGGCAGGGGAAGGGGCATGGGGCAGGGGAAGGGGCATGGGGCAGGGGAAGGGGGCATGGGGCAGGGGAAGGGGGCACAGGGCAGGGGAAGGGGGCATGGGGCAGGGGAAGGGGGCATGGGGCAGGATTTATTTGTTTGGTGGCAGAGAGGCAGGTGTGCATCAAAGCCTAGATGCTGGTGGGGTCCCAACTGCATTATCTGTGGAAGAGTTTCTCCAGCAGGTAAACGAGCCAGCATTGCTCACACCACCCAGTGTGTCCCCGGCTGCCTTCTCCAGACATCTTAAGGTGTACTGCTCAGGGAAAGCTTGGAGGCTTGGATCACTGTGGTATTTTAGGGACTTAAGAAATCCAGAGTCTTGTATATGTGTGTGCGTGTGTGTATGAAAATGTGAATACCCATACTTCACTATCAAAGGAATTTTTTTTTAAGTTGCCTTATGTGAACATTTGTAACTGTAGCTTTCTTTCTTTCTTTCCTTCTTTCTTTCCTTCTTTCTTTCTTTCTTTCTTTCTTTCTTTCTTTCTTTCTTTCTTTCTTTCTTTCTTTCTTTCTCTCTCTCTCTCTCTCTCTCTCTCTCTCTCTCCCCCCCCTCACTCTATCTAAAGATAAATGCAAAAATATCCTTAGGTGAGGAAAGAAAGAAAGAAAGAAAGAAAGAAAGAAAGAAAGAAAGAAAGAGAGAGAGAGAGAGAGAGAAAGAGAAACATCAATGTGAGAAAGACACATCCACTGGTTGCCACTCACACCACCCCAACTGGGGCCGGGAACAAACTGCAACCGAGGTACGTGCCCTTAGCGGGAACCAAACCCTGGCCTCTCCAGTCCACAGGCCGACGCTCTAATTGTTGAG